CATGAATGCCTGTAATCCCAGCTACTTGGGAGGCTGAGGCCAAAGGATCGCAAATTCAAAGCCAGGATAGGCAATTTAGCAAGGCCTGTGTCAAGATAAAATAAAAAGAAGCAGGGATGTTGCTCAGCATAGTATTTGCCTAACAGGTCCTGAGTCAATCCCTAGTACCACAAAGGAAAACCTAGCCAACAGAACACTAAACAGTTCTCCCACTCCCAGGTCTCTAAAATGAAAAACTGGGATCCCAATTTGAGGACCTTATCCAGAGGGACCCAGGGAAGGTGTTAAGGGGCCCCCACATTTTCCAGATCCTCAGCCACTGACCCTAGCCCCTCCCACATGCCCCCAAATGCTTAACTCAGAACTCACAGAAATTTGTGAGCTGCATGTGTCATTTTACATCTTCTAGTAGCCACATTTTTAAAAAGTTTAAAAATTAATTCTAGCAATGTATTTTATCAAATCCAGTGTATCCAAAGTACTATCACTTCAATACATAATCAATATACAATTCATGTCGGTAAGTATGTGTGGTGCTGGGGACTAAACCCAAGCACTCTACACCCTTAGCCTTATACAAAATTATTACTGACACTAGGCACACAACTGAAACCCTAGCATCCTGGGAGGCTGAGGCAGGAGGATCTCAAATTCGAGCCCAGCCAGGGCAACTTAGGAGCTTAATGAGACCTTGTCTCAAAATTAAAAATTTGAAAAAAAGGGCTAAGGATGTAGCTTGGTGTGAAGGCCTTGGGTTCAATCCCTGGTACAGAAAAAATACATATAGACAGATAAACAGACACACATACAGAGAGAGAGACACACACACACACTCTGAGATAGTTTCCTGCGTGTAAATCCAGTCTGCACTGTATTTCACTAGACCAGCACATCTTCATTCAGAAAAGACCAGCCACACACTCTGCGGGGTTGGGAGGCAGAGTAAAAGACCCAGGAGCAGCCTGGGGAGGCCAGATGAGTCTGGCCTGGAAGGGTTATCCCTGAGGGGTGCTGCCACCCGCATCCCACCTACCCTGACCCAGTCTCTTGCGGCCACCCCTCCGAGCAGACAGCAGGCGGGCGGGGCAGTGCCCCTTGCCCGGCTTGCCTTGTTCAGCAGTCTCCAGCCCCCAAGCGCCATGCGCAGCTCTCCTCGCTGCAGCGCACCCAGCCTTGACCCTCGGCTGCCACGGCTGCTCCTCCAGCAGGCTTCTTTCGAGCCACATTGCTAGCTCCAGGATGACTTCAGGCAGGCAGTTCAGATGTCCACACACTCGGGAGCTAATTGAATCCCAGATCATCTGGAGAGAGTTTGCTGGTTCTGTTTGCAAGTGCACAGGTCTGGGGATTTGTTGTTGTTGTGGTGGTGGTGGTGCGGGGAAATCAAAACTGGGACCTTCATGCTGAGCTTCATTCCTTATTTTATTTTTAATTTTTGGGACAAGGTCTCATTAAATTGCTAAATTGCTCAGGCTGGACTTAAACTTGTGATCTTCCCGCCTCAGCCTCCCAGAGTGCTGGGATTACAGGGTGCACCACCACTTGGTGCTCATTTTTTACTTTTTGTGTTGCTGGGGATAGAACCCAGAGCCTTGCACCTACTAGGTAGTGCTCTACCACTGAGCAACACTCTGGCCCCAGGGCCTGGGGCATTCACAGGCAGGTGGGAAGCGGGCAGTTAGTCCAGGGCTGTAGTGGGATAGCTGAACACATGCCCCACACAACTTCATGCAATGGGAAAAAAAACGTTCCCACCGTTCCAGGCTGCCTCGGGGGAGGAAAACAGGCCTCGAGGCCACAGCTGGGCAGGGAGGAGGGAGCTCTGGGCCCACAGCTCTATCCAGCTGTCCAGGACACGGTGCCAGCCCAGCTGGGGCCCTCTTTATCCCCAGCAAACAGCTCCTCAGGCTCTCCATCCTCTGGCCCAACCCCCTCCCAGGGAGCCAGCCTGGCGGTCCCTTTCTAACCACGAACCCCACAGGCCCCCAGGGCACCTCCAGCAGCTTCCCTCCCTCTTCCTGACGCAACCTCAAGCTTTCTAGGGGAAGGAGGCCCAGTCCTTGGGGTCGCCTGTTCTCTACTCCAGAGACTGAACTCTGGCCAAACGGAGGGCACACGTTGAGGCTATTCCAGAACTCTCTCCCGGCTGGGGTTCCATCAGGGAAGAGAGCAAGCAGAGTCACCACTAATGAGACTGGAGG